ATTGATTTGTTCAGTTCATTGTTATTCTGCATCCTTTTACTGTAAAATTACAAAACAAAAAGCACTGACCAGTGCAGGCTGTACATGCTTCTGTGCTACTGTTAAGCTCCAGTTAAACTATTGTTTAATTTCTAACATAAAATATCAACTTTTATTTTACTAATAATAACACTTAGTGTATTATAAAACTTGTTCTTCCCTTCACAAAATGTTGTTGTTTATAGTTATGGACTATTTTTCTTAATTTTTTTCTTTATTTATAATGTGTTAAAAACACTGCTTATATTCAATGCTCAAGAGTTTATGAAAAAAAAAAAAACAGGCATTCACTTTTATGTTTTTTTTTTGTATCAAAGCTTTATTGAGTGCTTCTAGTGACAGTCACATCCAATATTATTTTCATAAAGAGTGTGATGTTGTTTAACGTCTACGTTTTCCTTCTGCGCAGGTCTAAAAGTGGTAAAAATTTGCAGTAGGAACCACTCCACTGCATGGGGTCTGAAAAGCTGAGCAGTAATGGTTTAGCCATGGTGATCAGGTGCTTTACTTGTTAGCAATTGTTAACTACTCTTTCTATGATTAGTTATGGGATATTTTATAGTTTTAGTTAAGCTGTCAAACTAAAATCAAATTGCTGTCAACACCAAGGCAGTTCAGTTACATTTCACCAGATGTAGTGACAGTGGAGAGGAAAAACTCGCTTTTAACAGGAAGAAACCTCCAGCAGAACCAGGCTCAGTGTGAGTGGCCATTGGCAAAAATCGACTGGGGTTCAAGGAGACAGAAGGACAGATACAAAAGGCAACTGTAAAAGGAAACACACAGCCAGGCACATGAGATTCGAGCCAGCTCCCATGTCAGAGGATTACATTTACAGCTTTATTATTGGTTGTTGGAGAAAAACAATGGGATGTAAGCCTATCACACATCTCAAATAACTAGATTAAAATTACTAACTACTAATGAGACATGGTGTAAAGTTTCATGGTCTTGGCACTGTTGACTGGCTTAATGGTTCATTCTATTCACCTGCTGAGCTCTGCCCAATTTCTCATTACTGTTCATCTTATCCACCTGCTCCTGCCTCTATTTAAGCTGCCTACCCCCGATCATCAGTGCCAGATTATTCAAGCCTCCAGTGAGACATCTCTAGCGTACCCTGTGTGTTGTTCTGATTGCGTGATACTGACTACTTCTGCACTATGGACCTCTGAGCCTTCGTGTTCTAATTCTGATCTGTTTGCCTGACCTGGCTTCTGACTTAAGCTGGATTCTGCCTGCTTACAACCTTAGATCTGTCTCCTGACCTCAACTTGGATTTCCCTTTGGTACCACTTCGATTTTCTGATCATCTCGCCTGGACTCCTGTTTACCTCTTTGACACCAGCTTTGGCTTCACCTTCTGGAAATTCCTGCTTTCCCTCATCTGCTTGATTCTGCTTGTCAGCTACTTCGGCTGCGTTCTTGGCTTCAGCTCCTGGAAATCTCTGGGTGGCATCAGTTGCATGTTGTGGGAAATCATCCAGCTGAACTCCTTTCTCTGGGTTCAGACTATCCATCCATCCATCCATTATCTGACACGCTTATCCCAATTGGGGTCACGAGGGGTGCTGGTGCCTCTAGCAGTCAATGGGCAAGAGACGGGGTACACCCTGGACAGGTTGCCATCGCAGTGGGTTCAGACTATATATACAAAAAAAAAAATATATATAGATAGATAATATCTTCCCAAAATGTTTAGGGGTTCCTCATGATATAGTATGGGAAATAACACATAAAGCTTTGTGCTTTTTAGACTCAGCAGTTTATTTGGCCTTGGAATTAAATATATGCAATTTTTGTTCCACTTATTCTTTTAGTTGTATAATAGATACTGATGTTATCAGCAGCAAGTAAGATTTGCAGGAGTTCAGATATTGTTTTTGATTGATTTGATAAGTTTTTGATTGACCTTCAGAGTGAGTAAAGGCTGTCTCAGAGTATATTTTGAAAGATCCACCATGCCTGGAAGGGTTCACTTTTTCATGTTTTCTTAAATTAGAGATAACAGCTTTTACATTAGTTCCCTGGATCATTTAGCTACATGTTTTGACAGTCACTAATTGTTCAATATAATTGCAGGCTAGCAGTAATCAGGCCTTGGTGTAGCTATGCAAATAAAATGGAAAAATGAATCACAGTGATTAGGAATAATTCATAACCTAATAAGAGGGGTAATTGTTGTCTGTTTTTACATTGGAGTGGGTTTTTTTCACCTTATCAAAACAGAATAATTTTGAAAACTCCTTTTGTATTTGTTCAGATGATCTTTCTTTATAGAATCTGTTTTATGAATTAAATAATTGAAAGAGGATTAAAAGATCTCTAATCTACAAGAGAGGAAATTAAGGCTTTTGTAGAGAGTGATCTCTTCTGCATCTGTTGAGAAAAAATAAGCTTGAGAAGCAGATAGAGAAGGCTGCTTCTGTTTTAGGAAACTCCTTTGGAACCTCTGAGGAGGACTTCATCAGGAAAAATTCTTCATAAAATTATTCACATTATAGACATTTCTGAGCATCCTCTTCATTTAAGTGTTCAACAGTCAGAGGTTGATCTAGACCCACAGAGACAGACTGCTACAGGAGGTACTTCCTGCTAACAGCCATTGGCTTCTACAACAATTCACAAAGAAACCCCTATAATATGAGTTAAAACATTAAATTTTCTTTTAGGGTTAATTATCAATAATCTTTATTTCAGTAGAACTGAACAGAAGTATTTGTGCTGCATGGTGGATTGGTTAGCAGCACTGTTTAGCAGGAACAAGTTCCTGGGTTTAAATTCCCAGCCTAGGGTATTTCAGCATAGAGTTTATCTATTTCCCACATGCTTCAGCTTCTTATTTAAAGTTTAAAACATGAGAGTTAGGCTTAACCAATCACTATAAATTGCTTTTAAGTGTGGATGCTTGTGTTTCTGTCTGTGTGCCTCTGTGTTGCCCTGATATAGCAGTTAGGCACCAATCCACCATTAACCTGACAGAAAAGACGAGATGTAGATGCATGGAAAAATTATTTGGAAAAAAGAAAATAAATCAAAATTTCCTTCTCTTTGAATGTGAAAGCCTCAGATTGATATCTGCAATTGTTGTGCAGGTAAAAAGAAGGGGTTTCCAAAAAGTGGGTTCTAAGAAAGCAATGAGGAAAATTCAATATTGAAATAGACAAAAAATTATTTAAAGGCTGAAAATAAAGCCCCCCTTTTAAACAGACAGCATAACGGGAAGATAAAAAGAGTTTTATGGGAAGGATCGGGGTTGGAGCATGTAGAAAATGACTGAATGACTCATGTTAAAAAGGTAAGCTTAACTGGTAGATAACTGGATGGAAAACAATATATGATTCATGAAAAACAACCAAAAAAGATCTTTGTCAGTTTCAGAAAGAGATCTTTAAGTCCAGTTCACTGACACACTTTTATATGAAGGACTTGGTATGAAGCATGCTGCAGGAATTCAGCAGGGCACTTAAAGTTTGTCTGGTAGCAAATAAATGTTAAGAGGCAGTGGATGGTGTAATTATCTGCTTTTACCATCAAAGTCGTCTTAGTGTGCATGTTTTAGTCAAGGAGAGCTGCATGAACTGGCTCCAGACTGACGGTACTAAAATCAGACTTTATTCCATTTTGACCTATGATCCTTCTTTTATATGGAAGGCAATATTATGTAAAATTGGACTATATAACAATGGAGTAGGTACATTAATGTGGATAACTATTTGGTGTTAACTGTGATTGATCAGGGCAATTTTCAAAATGCAATCAAACCAATTTTTTAGACAATATTTTTGTCTGTAAATATAAGTTCTTGATCAACATTACATAATCATCTTGATTAGTTTTATTGGTACTGCTTGAGATTAATGCATAAATAACAAATGGTAAGACAATGAAATTGGTTTCACAATATTGACTGCTGTCAGAGGGTTTGATTAGTTGTGTTAATGGTCAGGATTATTTGATCCCTCCTTGTTAAAAAAATAACTTTTTCAAGCTTGTCAGGCCTGGAACTGCATTATTCTGGATTCTTTAATATAGTGAGATTTTTAGTTCTGGAACTATTATTCTGGGCAACATTTAAAACCCAATTCTTAACTAAATGTTCTAACCCATGGGTGTAGGTTTGCATAGGAACCATAGGGACATGTCTTTACCAAAATTTTGGTCCGACCTACTTGTCCCTACCAATAATTCTATGTGAATAACATATTTATAATTTACAATACAGTGTTGTTGCAGCACTCGCTTCTTTTCTGACAACTTGTATATTGAAGTTAATATTTTTAAATGCTCATTGTCAGTTCCTCTTATAGTTCCCGCACCCATATAAGCACAATATATCTATTTGCAGTCCCTTGAATGTGTTATTTTGCTTTGTTTTACAGTACAGAGAATATCAGCATATTAGATTAAACAAAATTAGAGTGGATTTTACCCCTGCACAATTCTATTTCTTCAAAAGAAAACTCCTGATAAATACACATACAACAGACATATTTAGACTATATTTGGTTAAAAAGGCACGTATTTATCTTCCGACTTAGTCACTGGTAAGTTCAAATGTAACCCTTTTCAAAGTGTAAGGTTGTCCCAATTTTACATTATTCTGAGCCACTGATGCTTCAAACATTGATAAACAGCATATTGTGTGTGTAGTCGTGATTATAAAATTTGTATAAATGTAGCAAAAAATGCTGGAAATGCACCCTGATGGTCACGTCAAGCGTAAAAAAAATAGGAGCATGCATAATGAGTAGGACCAATGACATCAGACATATTTAACCTAAGACCAGTATCATCCCCACCAAAGTTGAGATCAAACCTACGCCCTTGTTTTAACCCAATTTTTAGGGTAAGGTGTAAACAGCTATTTCAGCATAAAATACAGTGTGGCTAGAGGAGAGAGAGAGAGAGGGAGGAGTAATGACCTACATATATTTCTCCTTGGGTAGTCAGATCCTTTAATGCTTTTCTCAACTCTGTTAAAAACATCTGAAAGGAGGGTCAGTAGCATGAAAGTCTTTAGCAGGAGTGATAGATAGATGTGCAGAAGGATGAACTTCTGACTTCTTTTAAGTGATGCTTTATGATGGAGGGAGCACTGTGTTGTGTGTCATGTGTCAGGGCAGACTTGAGCAGTAGGGAGGGAGAGTGTGTGTCTTTTTAGAGTTTTTCTCCCAGTTGTTCCACCTCTCCATCTGAAAGCAGCAGCCACAGCACTCTGTGTTTTTTTTTTCTTTCCCCTCCTCAATTGTGGAGAAAACCCACCAGGTAAGAGACGCGTATCACGCATGATTTAACAGCGACGTGCGCCTGGCACCCGCTGCAAGGTTTGCATTGAGATTCTGGGAAGACAAATACGGGAAAAAGGAATAAAAGTCAAAGAATAGGTGGAAGGAAGGAGAGGAAGAAACACCCGGCGGCGCGTTTGCGAGCCTGCAGAGACGTGGTGGATTATTGAAGTTCCTCACTAAACGCCAACTCAGCAGAATTATTCTTTGTTCAAAAGTTACAGTAACGGTGGCGCGCGCGCCCTCACGCGCCTGACCCACTGTCTTTGTGTGCGCGTGGAGGAGTTGTGTAACTTTTTTTGTTGGGTTTATCCGGGCTGCGGCTGCATGCCAAATTGATGCTCAGGCGTTGTAGACGTGGCTTCCACAATGAATTCACTGACTGCTGGATGTGTGCTCATGCAAAGTATTTTCATTTGATTTTAGTGATGTAGAAGTCATATTTGACTTAAATTATGTGGATGAATTATAAAACCTAAGTTGTGCATATCCTTTTAAAAGCACTTTTATCCAAATTATAGTCCTACATAGTAACTGTACAAATCACTGTAAAAGTAAAATAAAAATACTTTCAGAGCAGGTGACTTACCAGAACTTTACTCTTCTTTCTAAAAACTCCAACTTTGAGGTTCCAAATTGACCTCATTTAGATTTGAAGCAATGTGTTATGTGTGCAGCACTGCTTTGGAGCTACTTATTTTTCCAAGCTGGGTCTACAGCTCAAAACTTGGTCCAAGCTTTGTTATTTTGCCGCTGTTATAACAGTGGCCTGAATGCAGACTAAAATGTGCAAAAAATGTTCAAGCATGGCCATAGCCAAGTGTTGTTGCTGAATAATTGTATAAACCTGTCAATCACACAGCGCTGTTGCAGGAGGTGATTTGCTAATAAAGTTGCTTTCAGGATGGTGGAAGTAAACTTGAAATAAATTCTATTAGGAATACTTAAGTATAAGTTTAGAAAGTATACCCGAACAAGTACTTTTAGTGTACTTGAAGTATTACTAAAGTAATACTTCTTTGAACTAAATTGGGGCATTGTAAACAATAAAGTAAACAATAGTATAGTCAAGTACACTTGACTATACTATTGTTAAGTAGATGAAATATAGTTTAGAATAAGTAAACTCTAAGTGCACTGCCTGATTTTAAGTATAAAAATTAGTGCACTTTTAGTATACTTGAATAAACTACTTTTTGCTAAGGGTATAGGTGTCATGAGGCAAGGACAGATGGACCCAGTATTAAGGAGAGACAGTCAGTAGGAAAGTTCAAAAGGTTTATTAAAATAAAAACAAAACAAAAGCGGAGCTGTGGCTCGCAGACACTGCAGGCGGGGGGGCGGGGCACCGCCCAATCTCAGGTACTCTAGGGGAGGAAACACAGGTAAGTGACCACGATAAACTGATATGATTATCTGGGTTGGTCACTTACCTGGTTTAACAGTCCAGACCACGAGTGTCCCCAGTGCTGCAGTCCCAGAGGTCATGCTGCAAGCTGATCCTGGTGAGGGATCCAGAACAGACAGAACAGGCGGTGTAGTGTACAGGAGGTAACGATGGCCTCTCACAACCACCTCCCGGTCAGGAATCGTGAGGTCCAGAGAAAATCAAGCATGTTTCTTTTAGGCATACAGTGTGAGCAGTTACATCGCATGAGAGTGTCATGCTGCACATACATCGTGAGCTGTGAACTCACACTGCACAACAAAACCCTGCGGTTTTCTTCAAACAGTGTGAGTTGCAGCTGCTTGCAACTATTGAAAAAATTGCACAGTGTACGCCGGGCTTAAGGGATAGATATGTAATTAGAGGTGTTATTTGAGAGATGTAGCCCCAAAAACAAGTCCTTTCTCTGAACGATGGTATAGCTACTATATGGCAACCTCTAAGCTGCAAGTGACTTAAACCTACTAGTCATATTGGTGCAGAATACCTTCATGTCCATGCTGGCTGGCATTGTAACCAGAAGTTAATATTTACATATCTTTGTTGCGTCATGTTTATAACAATTTTTGATAACTTTTTTCCCAATAAAACAAACACTTTTATTATGCATTACTGTAGATGTTCTATGGATGTAATAATTTAAAAAATGAAATTGTTTTGAAGAAACAGTTGTAGCTATGATATTTAAACAAGAGAGTTCTATATGACACGCATTCACTATGCACTGGCACATCCAATGTTTAGTCTCAAAGCTTAGTCTTTGGTTGTTCCTTCGCTTGAAGCAGAAAATCTGTTTTATAGTCATGGGTTTAAAAAAATTTTAAACAGAGTCTATTTTTAATGTGCACCTAGCTACTGTCACATTTTCCTCCACTTTCCCTGAAAAATATAATTTTGGGGAAAAAAGTGAAAGTGCGCAGAAGTGCACCTTTTTTTGATTTGGTCAAAAAGCTATTTGGTCAAAGAGCTGTCAGCTACAGATGCATTTAACATTCTCCCATAATAAATGTTTCTTTGTTGCCAAGGAAACATGACTCTTAGCTGCAGTTGACCATAGAAAAAAAAGGTAATGTGTTATTATGATAACTGACAATTCACTGTGAATACCATGCACTTTAATAAATGATGAGAGGGTCACCTACTGCATGTCAGTATAATGCAGAGGGCTTTGACCAAGTGTCAGTATTTAAGGAGTTGGCAGTGAGACTGTGTTGCTGCATTTTATGGGTTTGAAACATTACTTTATTCAAGGCTTATCCATCTATTGGCTTCTGGCAAGATGTAGTTCTGGGAGTTTGTGACTTTGCAAAATCTTGTGACAATTCATCTTTCTTGTGAGGTAAGATTTAAGTTTAATTTGGAATTATACTTATATAAAAAACAGAAACAGATTAATTTCTTCTCCTGTGAATTCCAGTGATATAAACCTTACATAGATATTTGATTGAGATTTTATCATCTTTATCAAGGACTCAAAATAACCCAATTAATGTTGTGATATTGATACTACCTTCTATTGTTACATCATAACTCATAAAGACTTTTGCATAGAAATAACTCATCAATGATTTTCTCTGGTTTTTGTTGGTATTTAGACACATGGCAGTATTTGTGATTAATGTATCCTTACCTTTAAAACAAAGTATAATTCTTGTCATTCCAGATGTTTTTGAGCTGCAGAATTAAATTTTGACTAAATTGATTAATTAAAATAGCAAGTCTTGTTGCAACACTAAGAATTTAAAGTATATAACTACAGTTAAAGCTCTGTGTGCTGCAGATATGGTGCTAAACTCCATGACCTTGAATAGGTTCATTCATCTCTTGGCTCATAGCCAGAAATTTAAATTGCCACAACATAAAAGGATTACCTAAGGTAATACATTTCAACTTCTGAGATCATTAATGTCTGACCAAAACAATTTTTCCTTGAAATAAATCTTCCCACAGTTTCTCCTACAGTATACAAATCTTCTGTTTCCATCCCAGAAGGCGATCTGTCCTGCTCCATCTGTAAAAGACATCAGCGTGGTCAAAACTAGAAAGGAGCATCCAGGCCAGCTTGTCAGTAAAATTTAACTAATGCATCCTTTAAAGAAGTTGGTTAATGAAGACCAGCAGTTCCACTTTGTCCTGCCTGTAAATCATCAGTTTATCTGCGTAGCAAACAGGAAGTAGTTCAGTAACTGTCCTGAAATCATTACTTTTTGTAATGGAGGAGGAACAGGACAAATTATGAATTATATCAGAGCATGTAAGGACGTTAATGCAACCTAATTAAATCTGGATCATTAATCTTTACAGTTTTCTTGATTAAAGCAATTAAATTTAGTTGATTAATGCAGCACAAATTCAAATCTATTTTCATACTAATGGTGATATTTGAAAGGAATGATTCCCTTTTACCTGAAAGAAACAACAAACCATCTGTCACTCTGAACCACCTGGAACTCTATTAAAATCTTACATAGGAAGTAAAAGTTCTTAAGGGATGTAATGGAGCCATTACATCCTTTACATCTTAAAGGATGTAAACGCTCCATAATTATATGGATTTAAATTACAATTGCTAAGAAAACTGAAATTAAGAAGAAAACTGAAATTATAACCTATGACACACATTGCAAAATTTAACTGTAGCTTGACATCTGGGTGATTGGAACAGGGATACAGATGCTCATTATAACTGCAGGGATTTTATTTTATTGGCAGTGGCCGCATAGAAATGTCAAGGCAAGGCTCCAGCCATTTCATTTTCTCACCGCCATGCTCCATTCATCATTTGAAATCTTGTTAACATTCATCCATCATTGTTAAAACACAAGGAAATCTCTGTTATTTCTCTCTTGAGCCTCATCATTGTTTATTTTATTTCCTTGTGGAGAGGAATAGAGGAACATGAAAAAATGGAAGAGAGGTTCAAAGATAAAGATGAGCTATATTGTAAACTGAAATGCCAAAAAGCAAAACAAAAGAAAAATCTCTGAACACAGTGAAATATTTAGTTTATTATATATATAATATATGTTTTGTCTCTCAGAGCTTAGTTTATTTAACCAGATAAGAGCATATATCATCACTATAAGTTAATTAATTAAACAATTCTAATAAATAAACCTTTTGAGTCTGATTTAAGTTAAACTTACGGTAGTTAACTTACCTTTTAATCTCATGTCTTGTGTAACCTCTAGCAGGATTTTTCTAATGGTTACACTGCCATCTCTGTTTCTTGTTCAATTGTGAGACGCCTCCCGTCCTGTTAGCTTTCTGTTACATATACCATGTTGGATACAATTGAAAAAGTTACATTAAGTCTTGTAAGGTTTGTGGTCAGAGACAAAAAACCCTTTTGGACTAGAAAAATTAGCAGGGCATCAAAAACTACACACCAAAAGAAGATATCAAACTGGATCCAAAACTTTGATAGATCTGACATTATATATATATATATATATATATATATATATATATA